CAAACCCTAAACGTTTGATTGATTATAAAAAAAAATCTTAGTCATTGTACCAAATATCATATATACAAAATATAAACTACGCAACATTAAATATGCAATTTTGAATCATTAAAACAAAAAAATTCTAAATCTAGAATCTAACTCTAAAAGACATAACATGTTATAACCTTTGGTTGCTAAACCATTAACATTGTCTACCACATAGTTCCCAAATCAATATACATTCTTTTAAATTGTTCAATTATAAGAAAATTTAATTTATATACCTCATACTAACCTTTAAATTGATGATTTATTAAAAAATTTACCAAAAACATTTTTCTACATTTTTAAAATTAAATTATTTGATTAAATTAAGATGTAGACAAATAATAAGTCTACACTAGTCTACACAGTAGACGTTAATGTAAGTCTACCTAGTTGTAGACTTCTTTCTTAAAGTGTAGACCTACGAAGGACAAAATCGTAAAATATATTCCACGTTTTTTGTTTGTTCATAAGGGTTAAATAGTAGTTTTAACACCCATTTAGGTTGGGTTTGCAATTGAATGAATATGGGGTACACCTTTAGGGTTAAAATGAATATTTGGGTTGGTTTTGGCAATTCCCCCATTTTATAATATATCATATATAGTTAGTTAATGTAGTTTTTTCATCTGTATATATTTTACGATTAATGTTTGTACCTACATAATTTTTCTTTCCGCTATTTGATGTTCAATAATTTGGTGAAAGTATCTAGTCTTCGAATTCAAAATTATGTTTCGAAATTTTTCATCTTAAATAGTTAGTTGTTCAAATGGGGTCCTATGATAAAATAAAAAGTTTCATTCATTTTTGGTTTGTTCCTTCTATGATATGTATTTCCCATTTATATGTTTTAGTCATTTTATATATGCTTAATTATATTTATTCTCTTATTTTTTATCTTCATTTTTCTGGTTTATATTAAGATGTTTTCTCTAGTCCTTTTTATATGTTCAGTTAAATGTTTTTCTTCTTCTACGTACTTCTTATATTGTTTTTAGTACGTATTATATTGATAGTGATTTTATTTTTTAAGACATCACCTTGTTTTTTTAGTTGGAATATTTACATTTATATTTTAATTATTGAAATATCTAATTTGGATAAAAATGTAAATTCATATTGAATAAGGTATAGGTTTCAAAAAGAAATATAGAAGAGGTAGTTTTCAAATACCAGACTGATAATAGAGTAATTTAAAAATTATCTCTCGTTATTTTCCCTTAATATTAGTTAAATACTTTATTAAATGCAAAAAAGAAAAACAAAAACAAAAACAAAAAAAAACATACAAAGATTCAAACTCTTGTAATGTAATACACTAAATATAGTTATTGATCAATGGTGGTGAGGTTAGTCAGAACATATTCAAAATACATTTAGATAATGTTTTTTACTCTTCGAAACTGAAATCTAAAACTTTAAAATTGAAATTTTGAATTGTAAACTACAAATATAAAGTGTTACTATGCAAAAATTTAAATTTAAATTTTCATATTTTATTTACATTATGGTTCTTACATTATTACACTAAATATAAAATTGTAGATAGAAATATATAATTAAACATTAAACTACAAACAAAAGACCACATTCAGTTTTGTAATATTGTTGTTGTATAGTTTTAGTTTTAAGATATTTTAAATCTTATCTTCATGTTTTTTAAAAAATATTTATAAAGTTTGAATTTATTTAAAAAAATGGAAATTTTATGAAATAAGAATTATTATGGATTACAACTATAAAGAACAAAATATTTAATAATCAATTTTTCTGTAGTATTTTCATATATGTGCTAGTTATTTATAATTTTTTTATGAATTTTAACGAGTTATGAAAAATATAAGGACCATAGTAAAATATAAATAGTTTGAAGTTAAGTTTAAAAATTTGTTTTTGGAGAATAATACATTTAAACTTCAAATATAGAGTTTTGGAAACTCTAAAATAGACAGTATTTTTGGAGATGCTCTTAGTACTATAATATTAAAAGAGAGAAAAAATAAGATTAAAGAGAATAAATATTGAAATTTCTTTAGAGAGTGAGATGATGGAGAAGAAAATAAGATGAAATTGTAGAATGTATATAAGACTGTGTTTTCTATTGAATAAAACCACCACAATTAAAGATTAAAAAAAAAACTTAACAAAAAAATTAACATAATTTGGAAATAGGATAAATAAAAACACCATAGATCTATATATGCACTTAGCAGATAGCTTTGACAGCGAGCCTCCTAGCAGCACCATTGCAATCAGGTGCTCCAAAATTTTCCGTAGAAACATTAAAGGAGCACTTCTCTTTTCCCACACATTCTTGTGTGAGAATATCAACAATGTTGTTACTTGATACACAAGTTCCTTTTTCGAAAGATCCACAATTGCCATCTGGGTTACCAAAAGAGGCAAATTTGATGGAAAAAATGGATTTTCTGTCACATGAAAGCTCAATAATGTTTTTCTCATAGACATTAGCACATACACTTCCCACTCTAGTAGTTTGAAAATTCACAAGTGATGGGTTTCCTCCCATTTCCTCAAACAAAACTAGAGTGTTATTTCCACTTGTGTTCAAGAAAGAACGAGGAATATGGTACCTGTTCAAGAAAGCAACAAATCCCATTAAATATTTCTCAATTTTAGCATTAAGATTTTAAATTCTGGAATCTAATAAGATGTTGGAAAATGTACCATCTTTGTGTAGGTTCTCCACAATTGGTTAGACACTTTTCAGCATGATAAGCCCCTCTATAATCACATTTCGTAGAACAACCATTTTCGCTTGAAATGAATGTGGGCCAATAACGTCCAATGTTGTTTCCATTGACCCATGCTGTACCTTTTCCAAGTCCCAAAAGATCGACAACAACTGGATCATTTCCCAAAGGAGCCTTGAACGTAGTCTGAAAGAAAAAAAATGGAATGATGTGATTTGATATTAAGTCAACAAGGGTTTGGTTTTGTTATCTTATGGATATTGATATCTATTTACCTTATACCAAGTCATGGTTCAGTTAAATGGTAGCCTTTCCACTGACCATTTAGACACTGATTCTGTTTTAAAGAGTTGGTTCTCATACCCATTTAAACCGGTTTTATAACTCCATTTATGAGCAGACAAGTCTTTAGTAATAGTTTCATCACCATTTTTACCGATGATAAAAATGGGTCCAGTTATTCCAGCTGGCTTACTTTCAAAGAAAGCACCATAGTTCTATAAAAATTGACAAAAATTTACTTGTCAGCTAGAAATGAAAAGAGATTTTCAACTTTAAAAAAATACAAGATAAAATAATATTTAAGAACTTACCGCAAGTCCCACAGTTATGCTAAGAAGAGAAATAACATTATGACCAGACTTAAACTTCACACAACATAGTGAAATTTTCCATTCTCAACATGTTGATTACCTAAATCAATGAGTTTTTGGTAAGTTAGTATTATTGAGATTTGAAAAACATATATGAGTTTCTTACCAATATGCTTTCCATTGACAAAAACGTGAAGGACATGAGCAGTACTGTTGATGCGAAGAGACATGCCTTTACCCAAAAATGGATCTCTTTTTTAAAACTTAACAGTAGTCATGTACTATAGATAATCAGTTTGGTCATTGCTTACTACTTTCTGATCCAAAAGTTGTCTCGTTGTAGATTTTCCTTTTCCTTTCAAAAGGAAGTTGTCCATGTTCTCTGGTCTCCATGACCATTTCAAAATTGACGGGCTATCCTCAGCTTCATTTGGTTTCTTAACCATCATTGATGTTTGAGTGGTAATCTGAAAATTTAAAATTAGCACAACATTGAATCTTGGTTACAATTTTAAATAACAATGGTTGTTAGTAAAGAAAATGTTAAAGAAAAACCTTGGCGGTGTTATAAGCCTCATTTTTGCAATCTGGTAAAATGGTAACAGACCAAGCCGGTACAACATAAGATCTTCCTTGGAAACTAATAGTTGCATCTGAAGTTTCATTTCCGTTTAGAAAAAAGCAGCTTGATCCTTCTTCGATTTTATAAATGGTTGCCTGTAACATGTTCATGATAAGTAATTAATTCAGTAATAACATGTACAATAGTAATAAAAAATAACAAAAATATTACCGATGCCGAGTTTTCAAAGTTAATGGTGGAGATGTTTCCGTATGTAAGAGTTTTCTCCATAGAATGAAGAACATCATGAAGTTGTTTTAGATGCCCGTATTTTGGTTGATTCAAATTACCTAATAGATTTTACCATGTTAGTAAAAATAGAAACTTCTAAAATAGTTTTAAATATGAATTTAGTGTAAATTTACCATATTTGTCCAGGGGAGCATCATAATCATATGAAGTTGTGATGTATGGACCACCTGCAGTTCTATCAAAGTTGGTGCCTCCATGGTACTACAATAATAAAAAAATTTCAATTAATTTTACTGGTTAATGACATTTTTCGGTAAGCTTATGTATTTAAATTAGTTAAATTATTATTATTAAATTTTACCATATAATAATTATTAAATGTTCCTCCTCTTTGGAAGAATTTTGCAACAGAAAATGCAACATCTTCAGTTGTTCTATGGGGATTTTTACCGCCCCATTGCTTAAACCTAAACACATATAAGATAAAATATATCTATTTTTGATAAAATATTTAGAAAATAAGAAAAATTATTTAATCACACTCAAAATAAAACTAACCATCCGGTCCAATTCTCAGTCCACATCTTAGGAGTGTTGGGATTGTTTGGTAGAAAATTGTCGCAGTAAAAGCCATTACATGTATTCAACTATAAAAGCAAACAATTTTAAATAATTTAGAATTTATTAAATAAATATTCATTATAACTAGGTTTCTCTAATTACCATAGGCTGAGGAGCGTCATTTTGTTGACACATTATCCATGGAACACCAACATCAAGAGACTGAGCCATGTTTGCGCACCACTTAATGTATGCTTTACCCGATTCCCCATATGGTCCCATTACATTTCAATATTCATTTTCAGTCTTCAAGATTAATTAAAAAAAAATATTGTTAGTAATCTTATATAACATTATGAAACACATGATGTATTTAAAATATTAGATCTGTTACCTGAGCAAGAATAATTGGGCCTCCTTGTGATGCAAATAAATTTTCTTTCTTGACCATGTCTACTATCATCGTTGTGAAGTTTTGCATTTCATCCTATACATATCCATACAAAATTAAATCATAATAATACATATTTGATAATAAAAAAGTAGTACTGATCATCGAGTAAGATTACCATAAATGCTTTGTTTGTAGTTCTAAACACCATTCCAGGCATATTGTGCAGCCACACGGGGAATCCTCTGTTTAAAATGATTAGACAATTCGTAGATCAAAAATATTACACGAGAAAATGTCAGAATACAAGAGGCTAACTCGTTATGATGAATTATTAAAAATATATGCAATTAAAGAAACTAGCTTTTGATTTTTATGATACATAAGTATTGGTATACTGATTAATAAAATCAATCTATTGGACCATTTGAGATCAAAACATTATAAGGATAATAGTAATATCACTATACAAGTAGGCTAACTTATTATGAAATTTTATTAAAGTGGTATATATTGCACTTAAAGAGACTAGCTAAAATCCATTTTAGTATATTACCCGTAATTCCACTCGGCACATGCATATGGTCCTATGCGAAGAACACCTTGAATGGTTTTCAGGAACCGAATAAGATCTAAATTTCCAGAAAAATCATATTGACGGCGAGTAGGCTCATGCGCATTCCAGAAAACATAAGTTTCGATTGCATCAAGACCTCCTTATTTACCCTTTTTGATAAGATCCGGCCACATCTAAACATATTAAAAAAAAAAAAAAAAATTAGTAGCAAACATAGAAGATGAAGACCACACATTGTTTAGTGTAAGGTAAATTAAATACCTCAGGTGTGCTTCTAGGGTAATGGGTCGAACCAGAAAGAAGGACTCGGCGATGACCATCGATGGTGATGGCTCGGCCATCATGAGAAACTATTGTGGCATAAGCACTACTTACTAAGAGAAAACATAAAATAAATCTTAGAGAAACCATGTTTACTTAGAAGAACAGTTTTTGAATGAAGAAATATGAAAGGAAGCAAATCTTTTTATAGGGGCATAAAATTGTTATCTAAAGATAATTTGGATAATTATAGATATTCCCACCAAAAAATCAAAATTGTAACTAATATTTTATTTCAGTATAAATTTGTTTATCTTTTAACTAATTTTGTGAAATTTTAACCAATAAAAAGCATTTATCTCGATTTATAGTTTGATTTTGAATTTGGATAATAACATAATTTCTGTAAAAAATCTGAATCACTGTAGCGTGGTCATTAATATTTGTTTTCAATTGATTATATCTTAAAAATATCTGAATAAAAGCATTTATTTATATATTTTCATCTAATTGTTTGACCAATTTGAGTTTGAATAACCTTTCACTACTTTCTGTTTTTCACAAAGGTGATAAAAATAATTGTCTTGACACCTCTGTTTTTATATGATAAATATATTTTTTGTGTTGATCAAATTTGTGTATGAGAATTGAATAACCTTTTTACTAACTGTACGTTAAGGAATATGTTATTTGATTTACAAGAATCGAATAAGCGTTTTACAACAACTGAAAGCACCCAAAAATCATATTGTTTACAAGAAGGGGCTAGAAGTGTCAAGAGAAAAATTATGCATACGCCGTGCCATTTTAAACATAGATACATAGAAAAAACTTAGTTTATTCTTTTCTTGGAAAGGAAATAGAGTAGTTTGAGTCCAAATAAGAATTATCCAGAAAAACATTCATTCAGAAGGTTTTTACGATACATAATAGTTTTACAGAAGAAAACTTCCGTAAAAATAACTTCGGACAACCTTTAGTAAAATAAATCAAAACAGTTATATGACTATATAAATAACATCATAATATATACACTGAAATTCTTTCATAAAAATAATCAAAACAGCTATTACGAAACAAACTTCGAAAACTAACTTCAGAATTTTTGTAAGGAAAACCTACAAAAATTTAAAACAGTTATACAAAACTAAGTAAGAACTTATGAAACCATCAAAGGAGAACGGAAGAGATGAGACATAGCCAAGAGCAAACCAGCTCTCTTCTCTCTTCTCCCAGCATCGCCCTCTATCTCTTCTCTCCTCCAATAATAGCTCATTCTCCTCCCAGTATCGCCCTCTCTCTCATCTCTCCTCTCAACATCGCCCCAATGCCCTCACTCTCCTCTCTCCTCTCAGCAAATCCCTCTCTCTTCTCTCTCCTCCCATAATCGCCCTCACTCTCCTATCTTCTCCCAGCATCGCCCATTACCTCCTCTCTCATCTAGCATCTCCCATTACCTCCTCTCTCAATCAGATCGTCCGTTGATTTTACAAGAATCACCCATTGCCTCCTCTCTCGTTCAGAATCGCTCGTAACTCCTCCTCGGTCCTCAGCATATCCCTTACCTCTTGATATATCGGTTAATCCTCTAGATAAAATGTGGTTTCAGTCAAAATCCTCCAACGTTGGTAGCAGCGACAAATGTTGGTGTCAAAAACCGTAATCTCGAAATCAACGTCTACGATAACTTCTGGAATCATTACTTTCCGCAAAAGTCATTTATTAAAACTTGAGAGTCGTTTTATAAAACTCGAGGACCGTTTTATAAAACTCGAGAATCGTTTTATAAAACTGAAGAACCGTTTTATAAAACTCGAGAATTGTTTTATAAAACTCGAGAATCGTTTTATAAAACTCGACGATCGTTTTATAAAACTCGAGAATCATTTTATAAAACTCGACGAATCGTTGTTTTATTAAACTCGAAGAATCGTTTTATAAAACTCGAGAATCGTTTTATAAAACTCGAAGAATCGTTTTTTAAACTCGAAGATCGTTTTATAAAACTCGAGAAACATTTTATAAAACTCGAGAGTCGTTTTATAAAACTCGAAGATCGTTTTACGAAACCGCAAAAAACCGAAACAGCCGTAAAACGCGAACTAGTCCCGTCCCGACTAGTTCGCCCACCGGTGAACTAGGCCAGCCGGCTTAGTTCGCCGTTGGGCGAACTAGAGACTTCCCGGATAGCCCGCGCCTCGATCTCCCGAATCCCCGATTCGAAACTTACGTCCTTCGACACGATCGCGTTCCGAACCACGGCCGAAATGTCTCCCGTTTCGTCTCGATCTGTCCTATCGTTCGAGTTTTAGGATAAAAACCGTGAAACTTTGTTTTCTCGAAAAGAACTCGAGGAAATCGTATAAAACAGCAAGGGTTAAACGAAACACCGAACATTGCCTAAACTATACGATTTATTCGAGATTTTTCGTAAAAATCGTAAAAAATGCGTTTTTAATAAAAACGTCGAGTAAATCGTAAAAACGGCAACGATTAACCGAAGAAAACGGATGCAGCTAAACTTTACGATTAACTCGGAGAATTTACTAAAAATGGCATCGGATCAGGAAACGATCTCGTACAAAGTTGCAAAAACGGATTTATCGCACAACGACCCGGAAGGTCCTAAAACGCGATAAAAAGCCCATCTCGCGATCTTGACGGAGTCTAACCCGAAGATACGATAACGTTTTGACGGTTTACTCGCAGAAGGAAAATAAATGTCAAGTTTGAAGATAAAAGGCAAGTTTGAAAATAAATAGAAGATTTCCGCGGAAGAAAAGGAAGGATCGAGAAAAATGGAAGATTCCCGATATACTCAAATCCGGGCGAAATGGAAAGATCAAACCGTCAAGGCAAGGAGTATATAAACCAGAGGCGCAGGGCAGAAGAGGGGGGACGAAAATCAGACCTAAAACGACGGCTGTTAGCTTAGGAATTTAGGACTTAGCGTTTTGAATAGCAATCTAGATCCTTAGAACGTTTCGACGTCTAAGTTCTTCAATTCTTCTTGTAACAGTTGTCGATTCTTTAATAAAAGCTTTCATACAAGTTCTTATTTCTCTGTTCTTCATTGTTCATCCATATTCTTTTAAATTCGTTTGTTTTAGTGATTTCTGCAGAGATCCAGGACCTCGGGAAAATTAGGGTTTCATCCTAAGTTTCCATATTTGACGTAAAATCGACAGTGTGGATTTCGGTTCCCACAGTTTTGCGCTAGAAGGAGGGGGGTCGGATTCTCTTACACAATAATCGCTAAAACGAACGAGAAATAACATGCCTAATCTGAACGGCGACGTCATCTCGTTCGAGAAAAGAGCAACGATCGATTCGGTCAAACCTCTCAACGATCTTCTCGTTATTGAGCTGATGATCCGGAATATGGATGTCGCAAGGATATTAGTCGATACCGGAAGCTCGGCTGATATCATCTTCAAAAATACTCTCGAGAGAATGGAAATCGATCTGTCTGAAATCGCGGAAAACGTAAGCCCGCTAGTAGGACTCTCGGGAGAAATCACCATGACCCTCGGAACGATCAACTTGGCAGTTCGCGCCGGGAGCATAGTGAAAAACGTCGAATTCGAAGTCGTCGACCGACCTATGTCTTACATCACAATCGTAGGGACACCGTGGTTAAATTCGATGCAAGCGATTCTGTCGACGTACCATATGTGTCTCAAGTTTCCGACTCCGTACGGGATCGAGACTATATGAGGAAATCGAAGAACCTCGCAGGTTTGCTACGCTGCGGATTTAAAACGAAAAAATCTGCCGGTCGATATCTCTTCCAAAAAGAAAAAGAAGTTGACGTCCCTCGACAACGCCCCAGAGCAAGATAAAACGGAACTCTTCTGGCAGTTGCGAGCGGCCGAGGCTTTGGAAGGTAAACGCAAGCCAACCTGCGAACCCGTCATCTCGGTATGCATCGACGAGAATTTTCCAGAACGCTGCGTCGAAATCGGTGCGAACTTGAGCGAGACCTTAAAAGTCGAACTCTTGACATGTCTGAAACAAAACTCGAACACGTTCGCTTGGACTGCGGAAGATATGCCGGGGATCGACATAAACATCACATGTCATGAACTCAACGTTGACCCGACATCCAAACCCGTCAAACAAAAAAGACGAAAACTTGGGACGGAACGCGCCGAAGCGGTCAACAGCGAAGTCGACAGACTCCTCAAAGTAGGATCGATCACAGAAGTTTGATATCCTGACTGGCTGGCCAATCCCGTTGTCGTAAAGAAAAAGAACGGAAAATGGCGAGTCTGCGTCGATTTCACCGATCTCAATAAAGCGTGTCCGAATGATAGCTATCCGCTGCCGCACATTGATCGCTTAGTCGAGGCAACTGCGGGAAACAAACTCTTATCTTTCATGGACGCCTTCTCGGGATACAAACAGATCATGATGAATCCCGACGATCGGGAGAAAACCGCATTCATAGCCGATTGTGGAACCTACTGCTATAAAGTGATGCCTTTCGGTCTAAAGAATGCTGGCGCGACTTACCAACGACTCGTCAACCGAATGTTCTCCGAACAACTCGGAAAAAGAATGGAAGTGTACATCGACGATATGCTCGTGAAATCACTCGAAGAGCAAGACCACGTCGTACACCTCCAAGAATGTTTCGAGAGGCTCAAACTTCATAACATGAAGTTGAACCCAGCAAAGTGTCGGTTTGCCGTTGCGTCCGGAGAATTTCTAGGGTACCTCGTCACTTACCGCGGGATCGAGGCTAACCCGAAACAAATCACGGCGCTAATAGAGATGGTCTCTCCCAGGACGAAACGCGAAGTACAAAGACTGACCGGCAGGGTCGCAGCACTTAATCGTTTTATCTCGTGATCGACGGACAAATGTCTACCTTTATACGAGACATTGAAGGGAAACAAAACGTTCGAATGGTCATAAGAATGCGAGAAAGCTTTCCAACAGCTGAAACATTACCGTAGAAGGAGAACCATTATTCCTCTATATCGCGGTATCAACGACCGCCGTAAGTGGCGTCCTTATCCGGGAAGAACGCGGCGAACAAAAGCCGATCTTCTACGTAAGTAAGACACTACTGGACGCGGAGACCCGATACCCGATGATGGAAAA